ACCCAACCCAACCCAACCCAACCCAACCCAACCCAACCCAACCCAACCCAACCCAACCCAACCCAACCCAACCCAACCCAACCCAACCCAACCCAACCCAACCTAACCTAACCCAACCTAACCTAACCTAACCTTACCTAACCTAACCTAACCTAACCTAACCTAACCTAACCTAACCTAACCTAACCTAACCTAACCTAACCCAACCCAACCTAACCTAACCTAACCTAACCTAAACTTACCTAACCTAACCTAACCTAACCTAACCCAACCCAACCCAACCCAACCCAGCCTAACCTAACCTAACGCAACCCAACCAAACCCAACCCAACCCAACCCAGCCTAACCCAACCCAACCCAACCCAACCCAACCCAACCCAACCCAACCCAACCTAAGCTAACCTAACCTAACCTAACCTAACCTAACCTAACCCAACCCAACCCAACCCAACCCAACCCAACCCAACCCAACCCAACCCAATCCAACCCAACCCAACCCAACCCAACCCAACCCAACCCAACCTAACCTATCCTATCCTATCCTATCCTATCCTAACCTAACCTAACCTAACCTAAATAGAACTAAACCTAATGATATTTTTCACCCAAGAATATTCGGAAACAGGTTCCTCGCCCTTTCTGTACCGTTCTCCGACTACTCTTCGGTAAAGGTATGTTTCCGTGAGAATATTCGGAAACAGGTTCCTCGCCAGAGGTGCACAAACCTTCCTACTTGTCTACAATGTAGGAGACAGGAAAGAGCCGAAGAGGGTAGCCGCGAGACAGATTTCAGTTTGTGTTTTCTGTACAAAAATGACTATAAAAACAGCTGACTGGTAGCAATTGTTCGGTACAATCAGCTGTCAACGGCATTTGGTCATTACATTTCTTTACGTGTCTTCAAAAACAGTTCCTACAAATCTCCTCCATGAGACACCCACGAGACAGTTCCCATTGGATTAACATTGTGTCTCATGAGACACCGTGTAGGTAAAATGTAGGATGAAAAACTGCGAAAGTGTTGGGCATGTTTCGAAAAACGGCGCACAAAATCTTGGGGCGCCTATCAGTTTAAACAAAACTCCTGTTCGAAAATGGGTTCTGGTAAAGTTTCGTCAGCTGGTTTCCATAGCAACCGCCATTCGTGGGACAAGCTGACGCCATTTGCTAGCGCGTTGCGTGGTAACCAGCTATAGGTGTCAGTTGAATTTGAAAGATAATTGTAACAGTGAACAGCTTGCTTCAGTTGCTGTAGGGGAAGGTGGGGTAAGACGGCCCAGCGGGGCAAGACGGACCACCAGCCCTCCCGGCTGAACCGCTGCTGGTATCTATTGCTTTATGCACTCACTATGTTTGTTTTCCTTCGTAACAATGGCCACCTTGAGCTCATGCTGCTAGGATGCATAGCTTTTGAGTTATTGAGAAAAATGTTGTTTTTCGTCAAACCGATCTAATATAAGAGGTCTACGGGTGATTCAATTACGGCGCATTTCTTGCATGATTAGTTTCTATTTTGCACTTAACTGTGAAGAACAAAGTTATAAACTTAGTTATAGTCACACTTTAGGAAAGGCAAGGTTTTGCAATGTTGGGCTATTTGACATATACGTCATGATAATGACAGCATTTAGATTTGGGGCAAGACGGACCACTGTGGTCCATCTTACCCTGTGGTGGTCCATTGTACCCTGCATATTGAAAGTTCTTTTCCAAAACATTGACACAAGTTTAAGTAAGCTAATTTTTCAGGAAGGAGTCTTTGTTGCATGTGAGCCATGCATGCAAGTGCTCAGTTAGCATACATTCATGCCAAACGACAATCAACACACATGTTCCCAGCTTTTAGCTGCACTTCCATCACCCATGAGTAAAGAATAAAGGCTCATTTTGTTATTTTACCATTCTGGTTACTTTTTCTTACAAGAGTACCGAGCAGAAGTGTAACACACATGAACGGATAGCAGGCACTGCTGGGTGGTCCGTCTTACCCCACGTTTTTTCTTGTCTGAGTTTTTGACTTGTCCCTCTTTAAGAGCATCCACCACCTAGATGTCTTTAATTTGAAATTTAGTCTTTACACATATCAACAAAATGGGCGTTTGGGGGGGGGGGGGCAAAATGGGCATTTGCCCCCCCCCCAAACGGCGTAATTTTAACATTACGCCTATGGACGATGCATGGAAAGAATCGATAAATTGTTATGGTTTGCCCCCCCCCCCCAAAAAAAAACTCTGAGCTGGATCCGCCTCTGTGTGTGGACCTCCAGCTATGAGGTGGGGACAAGATGGGACCCACTCCAGTGGCAGCGAAACACCTTCAGTTAAGGGGGCACTGCCGACTTTTGGTCCCATTCTTTCCATGCAACGCCCATAGGGCTAATGTTAAAATGTCAAAACCAAAGGGGGCACGGTGCCACGGTGCCCTACCCGTTCCGCCGCCTATGAGTCCCGCTCCCGAAAGATCCGGGAGCCGCACCTCTTTCTTAGCTTTCAAAAGAGCGGCAAACAAGCGGCCAACATTGCTCCCAGAGGCGCCACCTGAAGCTGGACGGACGACGGGCAGTTTCGCTGCCGAGCGATTGAACTGCGGTGCTACGAGGCGGCTCCGCGTGCACTGCATTAGCACCTTCTAGCGGGAGTAAGAGGGCTAACGAACTCGCCAAGGCCTATATAAAGCATTGTGCCAAGGCGAGTGTCTTACCTTAGGAAAATACCTACCCAGATTAACTGCACCGCGGTCATCGCAGGGCTGAGGGTGGTCGCTCGCTCTGCTTCGGCAAGGTGGGGGTCAGACTGCCCGGTTAGGTGGTTTTAGCCGATATGCAGGCCCCGTTTGCCGGGCCCGGTCGAGAAGAAGGAACGTCACACAGCAGAGAATATTCGCTCCGGGCCCGCTACACTGGTCCGGCTCGTAAGTCGTAACAAATTAACAGTACCTGCGCTAGCGTCGTCGACCGTCGTTCGACTGCGCCCAGTACCGCTCAGTGGAGAGTCCTGCCGAACTCCTCCGCGTGTGCCGAGATCATTCGTTGCGCGCGGACACAATCGTCCGACGGAGACCGCTCTGCATTATGATCGAGTGGTGACCACCTTGGTCGCCGGCTTTCACACCCAGCCGAGCCGTCTGGCTACGCCCCAAATGATCGTCTAAGCTTTTCGATTGGTTTGTAACTCGGGTCTAATATCGAAATGTTTGGGAGTTAGGACATGTTAAATCCGTGCTCATGAACAAATATACATTATGCATTAAAACGCTTTACTTACTTTAGCTTTTCTAGGCTGATGACAAGCCATAAACCTATTCATTGCAATATTTCTAAAATGTAAATAAATCATGAGCAATGAGCATAAAAAACAACAGCGATCCACCTAGAAGCTAGTGTGGAAATCCACTGACGTAGGTCGCCTCGTACTGGCGCAGCTCGTAGCTCGTCCAGCAGCGCCGGCGTCTCCCGCACCCGGCCTCCCGCCTTGCCCGCCTGCACCATCAGCCGCTGGAAATGGCTGCGCTGCCGCTCCAACATTAGCTTGACCGCCTGGCCGGCCCAGCTGATGCACGCCGTCCGACACACGCAGTGTACGTCTTCAACAGCGCCGGGATGTCGTACGACACGACCGCGTCCACGGCGTCCACGTCAATACCGCGCGCCATAGCCTCGAGCACACCAGCGCGGCCATCTCAGCTAACGCGCGCCGCCGCAGGCCCGCCGGCACTACCCCACAGAACTCAGTCACGCGCGCGCCCAGCACCGACAGCGGTAGCTCCAGCTGGTGCGCCGCCTCGTTCCAGTTGACCAACACGAGCGAGCGTCGCCAGTCGGGCTGTCGGAGCAAATGGTGCATCAGCAGCGGCTTCAGCGGCTGCGGCACCACCACGTTGAACGACTCGCTCAGCTCGGCCGGCGTGGTGAACCTGCCGACGAACTGACGGGGCAGTGCGACGGCGGCGGCCGCCAGCAGTCGCGGCTGGAACAGCGACATTCGCTCCAGCTTCTCCGGCCTCCGGGTTCTGTGACAGGGTGGCCAAGAACGGCAGCTTCTGCAGCGGCAGGTGAGGCGCGCAGACGGCGGCGGCCGTCAGCCGGCCGGCGATGCAGGGCGGCGGGCCGTGGCCGCCGCCACCCGCTCCACCGCTTTCAGCCAGCCCGTCTCGGCCATCTCGATCACCCGGTCGGCTTCGTCGATCACCAGGTAGCGCAGGTGCGCTAGCGAGAAGCCCTCGGCGCTGGTTATGTGATCCATCAGCCAGCCGGGAGTGCTCACCACGATCAGCCAGGGAGACCGGGCCGCGCGGCCCCACCGCCACCAGTTGGCGCCCCCTCGTGCCACTGTGTCTCCACCAAGCAGCCGGACGCAGAGCGGCGTGTCGGCGTCGTACTGGCGGAACACGGCGGGCACCTGAGCGGGCAGCGCCTGTGTGGGTAGCACAGCTAGCGCGCGCACCCGGCGGCCGGCACCGCGCCTGCACTAGCGGCAGCACAAACGCCAGCGTCGTACCGCGGCCGGCCGGCGCCGAGATGCAGAGGTCGGCCGGTGGCAGCGGCGACTCTGCGGCCGCCAGCAGCTCGGGCAGCACGGTCACATGCACCAGGAACACCTGTTCGATGCCCTCGGCGGCCATCCGGGCGCGCATCTCGGGGCAGAGCGCCGGCAGATTGGCCGGCGCCGGCCGCCGGTCGCCAATCGGCTGCGGGTGCGCCAGCCAGTCGGGCAGCGCACGCGGTGCACGGCCTGTCGGCTCGAGCGCTCCACCTCGTCCAGCACGGTGAAATCGTCAGCGGCGGCGTCTCCGTCCGACTTGTTGTTGTTGTCGTTCCGGCCGTCGGGCCCGGTGGGCCCACATGGGGGCCCGGGAGGGCCCCAGCCCCCCTCGGGGGCGACACTTGCGACGTCCGCGCAGGGAGGGCAGCAGGCCCCCGGGCGGGTTCCGGCGGACTCAGACGCCGGGTAGGGCCGGGGAACCCAGCACCCCGCCAGAGTGTGTCCAGCGCCGTGGGCGCTCTATAGTCGGCCCAGGCGCCGCAGGAACTCGATGACCCGGCATGGGTCAGCGAAGACCTCCCGCAGCGTCGGGTCCTCTCTCCCGAAAACGTCGTGACGGACGCGGGCCGTCGCGGGGCACGACGTCAGTAAGTGTTCCGCGTCCTCCCTGACTCCGCCGTCGCAGGTCGGGCACCCATCGTCCTCCTCCGCCCCGATGAAGTGACGGTAAGCTTGCAGGGCAGGAGAGTGGCCGGTCCGGAGGCGCGCCAGAGCGGTGCCCTCTCTCCTAGACAGGCCGAGCCTGTCTGCCAGCCTGACCCTGCCCGGGCCGACGACATCGTGGTAGTCGTGGCTTAGGTGCGGGCGGGTCGCGGGCGCCGGTCGGGAGTGGCGCGTGCTCTCCACCCACTCTCTGCTTACGTGGCGCTTCAGCAGGCTCTTGGCCGCCGCGAAGGTGATGGGTGTCCCGTCCTGCAGCAGCTCAGCGGCCTCCCTGGCCACGGCATCGGCGATCTCGTTGCCGGCGACTCCCGCGTGACCGGGAACCCACTGAAGGTCCACGCGGTGGCGTCGTCCTAGTCGCCGGAGGGATAGCCAGACTTGGTCAGCGACCCGTTCAGTCTGGTTGGCCGGGCCTTCCCTCAGACGCATAAGGGATGATAGGGAGTCGGTGCACAGCTGGATATTGAGTGCAGGGTCTTGATCGGTGAGGATGGACTCGATGTATTTGAGTGTCTCTCGTAGAGCGATAAGCTCCGCTGTGTAGCTCGACGTGAAGCGCCCCGCTGGCGCTCGGATCCTCTTCACTTCCCTGCCGCTCCTATAGACGACTGCCCCTGCTCCGCCTCGTTCTGTGCCGGCTGTGGCCGAGCCGTCCGTGAAAGCCTGGACGTCCGGGTTCGGCAGTCCGGCTAGCGTCTCCTCGGCGGCAGTCCGTCGCTGTTCGGCGGGGGCGTTTTGCGGTAGCGGCCTCACAAGTCCAGTGTGGAAGAAGACCGTTGGAGGTGGCGGTGACTCCCAGGGAGGGGTGCTGGCAACCACCAGGAACGGTTCGCGTGGGAAGTCGTCTAGGCCGGCGTCTTTGGATATCTCTTGGCCCGTCCGTGCCCATCCTCTGTCATAGCGCAGACGTTGCCGGGGGCGGTTCTCAGGGAGGAGGATCCGCTGCACAGGGTCGCCTGGTAGGTCCCGGGAGTGGCGCTCCATCGCCACTGCCGCCAACTGCCTCCGCCGCGCCGAGAAAGGCAGGAGATCCGCCTCTCTGGCCAGGGCGTCCACTGGTGTGGATCTGACACAGCCGGTGATTGTCCTGCACGCCTGTCTTTGCACCGTTTCCAGCTCCCTCAGGCCAGACTCGCTGAGGCCGGGCATCCAAGCACCGGCGGCGTAGTCGGCGCAGGCGCGAGAGAAGGCGAGGTATGTGCTGCGCAGATCAGACGGTGAGCAGCCCCACGTCGTGCCGCTGATGGCCCGAAGGACGTTGTTCCTTTGGAGCATCTTGGCCTTGATCGTCTTCACATGTCCCGTGAAGGTGAGGCTCCTATCGAGGGCGATGCCCAGGAACGTCGTGGTGGGGGAGAACTTCACTGGTTGGCCCTGGAAATGGAGCGCCGCTTCTCGCCGTGCCTCAGCTGGGTCGAGCGTGAAGATAGTGGAGGTAGTCTTCTCCAGGCTGACCACCATTTTCCAGCGTCGGGCCCACTCCTCCAGGCTGTCCAGGGCACGCTGCACCTTGGTCTCGGCGGCAGAGACGTCACGGTCGCTGCACCAGATGGCTAGGTCGTCGGCGTACAGCGACGCCGACACGCCCGGTGGGAAGTCGTCGGTGATGTCGTTGATGAATAGGTTGAATAGCGCCGGGGATGTCACCGCGCCCTGGGGGGGTGCCGTCGCGGAGGACCCGGAACTTGCTCCTTGTGTTGTTTATTCTCACGCATGCTTGACGGTCCCGGAGGAAAGCCCGGAACCATGCTACGTAGCAACGGGGGAGCCCGAGGCGGGACATCTTCCAGAGGAGGCCCGTGCGCCATGCCTTGTCATAGGCTGTGGAAAAGTCCACCGTCACCAGCAGGGTCCGCTTCCTTTCTTCAAGGCCATCCGCCGTCGCCTGTACCAGCCTCAGAATCTGGTCCTCCGTCGACCTGTGTTTCCGGAAACCGGCCTGGTTGGGGTTCAGGAGTTGGCGTTGTTCCAGCAGATACATCAGGCGGCGGTTGATGAGGCGTTCCAGCAGCTTCGACGTCGAGCTCAGCAGACTGATGGGGCGGTAGGACTTGACCTGGTCGGGTGGTCTCCTGGTCTCCGTCCGACTCGGAGGTGTCCTCACTGTCGTTATTGGCGACGGCGGCTGCCGCTGTGCGCTCAGTCGGCCATCACAGCAACACTCGCCGATGATTAGCGTCATCGAAACCGTCGGACGACGGTGGATTCACCACCGTTTTTGCAGCAGAGACTGGAAAAACCTCAGCAATAAACAAGGAAAAACCTCACAACATGCCACAGCCTGCAATTGTGCATATTGTCATTATATTTCTCACATGACAGAAAATATTTGTTGCTTTATTCTAGGAACTGGCATGAAAAACATAAGCTAAATCAAGCTAAGTGAATTATTATTGTATTTCAACATGAGACTGGGAAAAAATCCTTGTCACTGTCAACATGACCAGTGTAACGGACGGGCTGCATGAACATTTCGGCGCATGATCTGAAAACTCTGTGTGCAGAAATTTCAGCGCTGAGGTGAACAAATAACATTTTGGCCGCAATTTGCCTGGTGCCTCTACAATGTCCGTGAAGTTAGCGTCAGCAACAGCAACGAATACAGCGTCGGATTCAGAATTGCTTCAAAAAGTGCCATCAGGTCAATTGGGGGACGGGGAACACGAATATGACATTTATTTTGCCCTAGCTCCCTTCCTTCATCCCTTAATCGTCCCTTAAAGGACGGGGCGCGTCAAAAGTGCCCCAAGGCTTCGTCTGATCGCCAAAATAATGGTCGCAATCGATTCCTCGGGTCAATATCTAACCTCAGTCGAAGGTTCCAGACCTGTGGCTCCTATCCCTCATCCCTTAATCGTCCCTTACAGGACGGGGCGCGTCAAAAGTGCCCCAAGGCTTCGTCTGATCGCCAAAATAATGGTCGCAATCGATTCCTCGGGTCAATATCTAACCTCAGTCGAAGGTTCCAGACCTGTGGCTCCTATCCCTCATCCCTTAATCGTCCCTTAAAGGACGGGGCGCGTCAAAAGTGCCCCAAGGCTTCGTCTGATCGCCAAAATAATGGTCGCAATCGATTCCTCGGGTCAATATCTAACCTCAGTCGAAAGTTCCAGACCTGTGGCTCCTATCCCTCATCCCTTAATCGTCCCTTAAAGGACGGGGCGCGTCAAAAGTGCCCCAAGGCTTCGTCTGATCGCCAAAATAATGGTCGCAATCGATTCCTCGGGTCAATATCTAACCTCAGTCGAAGGTTCCAGACCTGTGGCTCCTATCCCTCATCCCTTAATCGTCCCTTAAAGGACGGGGCACGTCAAAAGTGCCCCAAGGCTTCGTCTGATCGCCAAAATAATGGTCGCAATCGATTCCTCGGGTCAATATCTAACCTCAGTCGAAGGTTCCAGACCTGTGGCTCCTATCCCTCATCCCTTAATCGTCCCTTAAAGGACGGGGCGCGTCAAAAGTGCCCCAAGGCTTCGTCTGATCGCCAAAATAATGGTCGCAATCGATTCCTCGGGTCAATATCTAACCTCAGTCGAAGGTTCCAGACCTTTGGCTCCTATCCCTCATCCCTTAATCGTCCCTTAAAGGACGGGGCGCGTCAAAAGTGCCCCAAGGCTTCGTCTGATCGCCAAAATAATGGTCGCAATCGATTCCTCGGGTCAATATCTAACCTCAGTCGAAGGTTCCAGACCTGTGGCTCCTATCCCTCATCCCTTAATCGTCCCTTAAAGGACGGGGCGCGTCAAAAGTGCCCCAAGACTTCGTCTGATCGCCAAAATAATGGTCGCAATCGATTCCTCGGGTCAATATCTAACCTCAGTCGAAGGTTCCAGACCTGTGGCTCCTATCCCTCATCCCTTAATCGTCCCTTAAAGGACGGGGCGCGTCAAAAGTGCCCCAAGGCTTCGTCTGATCGCCAAAATAATGGTCGCAATCGATTCCTCGGGTCAATATCTAACCTCAGTCGAAGGTTCCAGACCTTTGGCTCCTATCTTTCATCCCTTAATCGTCCCTTAAAGGACGGGGCGCGCCAAAGTGCCCCAAGGCTTCGTCTGATCGCCAAAATAATGGTCGCAATCGATTCTTCGGGTCAATATCTAACCTCAGTCGAAGGTTCCAGACCTGTGGCTCCTATCCCTCATCCCTTAATCGTCCCTTAAAGGACGGGGCGCGTCAAAAGTGCCCCAAGGCTTCGTCTGATCGCCAAAATAATGGTCGCAATCGATTCCTCGGGTCAATATCTAACCTCAGTCGAAGGTTCCAGACCTGTGGCTCCTATCCCTCATCCCTTAATCGTCCCTTAAAGGACGGGGCGCGTCAAAAAAGCCCCAAGGCTTAGTCTGATCGCCAAAATAATGGCCGCAATCGATTCCTCGGGTCAATATCTAACCTCAGTCGAAGGTTCCAGACCTGTGGCTCCTATCCCTCATCCCTTAATCGTCCCTTAAAAGACGGGGCGCGTCAAAAGTGCCCCAAGGCTTCGTCTGATCGCCAAAATAAGGGTCACAATCGATTCCTCGGGTCAATATCTAACCTCAGTCGAAGGTTCCAGACCTGTGGCTCCTATCCCTCATCCCTTAATCGTCCCTTAAAGGACGGGGCGCGTCAAAAGTGCCCCAAGGCTTCGTCTGATCGCCAAAATAAGGGCCGCAATCGATTCCATCGATTAAGGGACGATTAAGGGATGAGGGATAGGAGCCACAGGTCTGGAACCTTCGACTGAGGTTAGATATTGACCCGAGGAATCGATTGCGACCATTGTTTTGGCGATCAGACGAAGCCTTGGGGCACTTTTGACGCGCCCCGTCCTTTAAGGGACGATTAAGGGATGAGGGATAGGAGCCACAGGTCTGGAACCTTCGACTGAGGTTAGATATTGACCCGAGGAATCGATTGCGACCATTATTTTGGCGATCAGACGAAGCCTTGGGGCACTTTTGACGCGCCCCGTCCTTTAAGGGACGATTAAGGGATGAGGGATAGGAGCCACAGGTCTGGAACCTTCGACTCAGGCTAGATATTGACCCGAGGAATCGATTGCGACCATTATTTTGGCGATCAGACGAAGCCTTGGGGCACTTTTGACGCGCCCCGTCCTTTAAGGGACGATTAAGGGATGAGGGATAGGAGCCACAGGTCTGGAACCTTCGACTGAGGTTAGATATTGACCCGAGGAATCGATTGCGACCATTATTTTGGCGATCAGACGAAGCCTTGGGGCACTTTTGACGCGCCCCGTCCTTTAAGGGACGATTAAGGGATGAGGGATAGGAGCCACAGGTCTGGAACCTTCGACTCAGGTTAGATATTGACCCGAGGAATCGATTGCGACCATTATTTTGGCGATCAGACGAAGCCTTGGGGCACTTTTGACGCGCCCCGTCCTTTAAGGGACGATTAAGGGATGAGGGATAGGAGCCACAGGTCTGGAACCTTCGACTGAGGTTAGATATTGACCCGAGGAATCGATTGCGACCATTATTTTGGCGATCAGATGAAGCCTTGGCGCACTTTTGACGCGCCCCGTCCTTTAAGGGACGATTAAGGGATGAGGGATAGGAGCCACAGGTCTGGAACCTTCGACTGAGGTTAGATATTGACCCGAGGAATCGATTGCGACCATTATTTTGGCGATCAGACGAAGCCTTGGGGCACTTTTGACGCGCCCCGTCCTTTAAGGGACGATTAAGGGATGAGGGATAGGAGCCACAGGTCTGGAACCTTCGACTGAGGTTAGATATTGACCCGAGGAATCGATTGCGACCATTATTTTGGCGATCAGACGAAGCCTTGGGGCACTTTTGACGCGCCCCGTCCTTTAAGGGACGATTAAGGGATGAGGGATAGGAGCCACAGGTCTGGAACCTTCGACTCAGGTTAGATATTGACCCGAGGAATCGATTGCGACCATTATTTTGGCGATCAGACGAAGCCTTGGGGCACTTTTGACGCGCCCCGTCCTTTAAGGGACGATTAAGGGATGAGGGATAGGAGCCACAGGTCTGGAACCTTCGACTGAGGTTAGATATTGACCCGAGGAATCGATTGCGACCATTATTTTGGCGATCAGACGAAGCCTTGGGGCACTTTTGACGCGCCCCGTCCTTTAAGGGACGATTAAGGGATGAGGGATAGGAGCCACAGGTCTGGAACCTTCGACTGAGGTTAGATATTGACCCGAGGAATCGATTGCGACCATTATTTTGGCGATCAGATGAAGCCTTGGCGCACTTTTGACGCGCCCCGTCCTTTAAGGGACGATTAAGGGATGAGGGATAGGAGCCACAGGTCTGGAACCTTCGACTGAGGTTAGATATTGACCCGAGGAATCGATTGCGACCATTATTTTGGCGATCAGACGAAGCCTTGGGGCACTTTTGACGCGCCCCGTCCTTTAAGGGACGATTAAGGGATGAGGGATAGGAGCCACAGGTCTGGAACCTTCGACTGAGGTTAGATATTGACCCGAGGAATCGATTGCGACCATTATTTTGGCGATCAGACTGAAGCCTTGGCGCACTTTTGACGCGCCCCGTCCTTTAAGGGACGATTAAGGGATGAGGGATAGGAGCCACAGGTCTGGAACCTTCGACTGAGGTTAGATATTGACCCGAGGAATCGATTGCGACCATTATTTTGGCGATCAGACGAAGCCTTGGGGCACTTTTGACGCGCCCCGTCCTTTAAGGGACGATTAAGGGATGAGGGATAGGAGCCACAGGTCTGGAACCTTCGACTGAGGTTAGATATTGACCCGAGGAATCGATTGCGACCATTATTTTGGCGATCAGACGAAGCCTTGGGGCACTTTTGACGCGCCCCGTCCTTTAAGGGACGATTAAGGGATGAGGGATAGGAGCCACAGGTCTGGAACCTTCGACTCAGGTTAGATATTGACCCGAGGAATCGATTGCGACCATTATTTTGGCGATCAGACGAAGCCTTGGGGCACTTTTGACGCGCCCCGTCCTTTAAGGGACG